CCAAAAAAACATTAGCCTTTTACTTTCTGATATTGATATTTGTAACAAGTTTGTTGATAAATGGCTTGATAAGGTTGTCATTGAATAAGGAGCCTTTTAAATTTACCAATGAATACGAGAATAAGGATAGCTACGGTGACGACGAGGGTGAACTCCAAGAGTTGTTGAACTTAAATTTGACGGATTTTGTAGACCTTAGGATCGGAACGACCAATGGCACGTAAATACGTGAGAACTTCATTTTTGGTCCTGAAATTGCATAACGAATAAATTGTTTTTTTTTTTAGAGGGTAATATATTTCCAGGAGCGTGTTTGCCATTTGGAATGGTAAAGGTTGGAATTGACACTGACCGTCCTAATGAATTTCAAGCTGGGTATGTATGGATGGTAAATTTCCCTCATGCAATGCTCGTGCGCATTCTAATTTTTTAACCTTTAAATAGGTATACTGTCGAAGGAGATGTCACAGGAATTTCACGCATGTATTATTAGTCGCAAGTTGATGGATTATTAATAATAGTTTGGCAATTTAACGAATTTTAATATAATTTTTTTGTATCTCAATCATCCAGACCTACATGTAAGCGGCACTGGAGGTACGTAAGAATAAGCTCAAGTTTGAATTACAGTGCACGCTGAGATTTCTTATCAAGTTTCTTCTTGAAAATAGGCGAGCCAAAGTATGGCGTGATAAGTCAACTCCCGATTGTCGTTCCGATCTCTGAGATAGACTTTGATGATATAAAATCGGCCAGGTCATTTGAAAATTTTACACCCGGTTACTCCATATTTGGCCTTGAGCGATATAATATCACCGTGGAGTTGACAGCAACCCGACGAGCTGCATTGCATAGATATACTTATCCAGAGGATGCAAATAATAATTCCCATGTGATAATTGATATATCTCATTTCTTGAAAGTATCGTGTCCGTGGTGCTTGTAGGTGCCTGAGTAAAAATATAATTATTCCAAACAGTAACAATTCCATCTAATCCTTTTTCTCTTTGACAATTATTTAACAGCGGGAAATTTCACGATGGCGCCATCTATTCCGTGACTGATACTCAAGTAAAAGGTGTGGGTCAATACTCGGGAGGTTGGAACCTAGGTGGTCCTTACAAAGTTTACTTTTGTTCTCAGTTCGATACCCCAGCCATATTTTATTCAACATGGTGGAACAATATAATCACAGAAACAACTTTTGACACTGGTGCGGACGGACATTCTATTGGTGCGGTTCTAACTTTCGATGCGAGAAGGTCAATATCATATTTAATTGTACTCTTATTTTTCAATATTATAATCATGTTCTTTCTCAAATCCCAATTTGTATGTATACAAAGCTCTCGCGTAATAAATTCAAGAGTTGGAATCTCCTTCATCTCAGCCACACAGGCTTGCCGGAATGCGGAGTCGGAAATTCCGAGTTTTAATTTCAAGAGAGTAAAGGAAAAAGCAATTAAAGCTTGGGAAAGAGAGTTGGAAAAAATAATAGTTGAAGGTGGAGATAATGAGATGAAAACAATATTTTA